TACATTTTCATGCGTTATATGCATCGGAGTACTTTTCCGTTATAATCAGTACATATCCGTACCTTACGATATTCTTATTTTCCATGATACTGTGCGGGCCATTTCCCTTTGTGATGTTTGAAAGCGTGGCTACATTAGCCTAACGAGCCAGACCATAGAGTACGTATACAAAGCCATCTGGTGGGTCCACGTGTGCGTGTATGGGTTGTATATATAGGGAAGTACTACAAATCTAACCCTATCGGGATTGGAAAGTGGAGTCCAAAGTCATGCCATTATGTTTTTACGACATCAGTCCCATCCTACTGCATGCGTTTGCATTTTTCGACCCTAAGGTTATATACTAAGTATTTCTTAAAATACTCCAGTCATGTTCTGTTCTAATTTTTCAAGTAAAAAGGTAAGACACTCCTTTACAGATAACGACGTCGTGGTGACAACTATAGAACCAGAGCTAGTGTCGTTACATTCATGTAATTTATTAGCAATTCAAGTCATATATTTTTTTCGGCCTTCTAGTTACCTGACATTATTGTTTTAAAATTTTTATTATGAATATAAGTCCATGTCACATCTTGCAGGAAATTTTTACCTCGATCCGTGCAAAAATTAGCAGAAACACGAACGAAATAGGAGTCCAGACAAAGATCGAGAAACTATCCTTATCTCGATTCCACCTCGTGAAGATTCCTATGTTGTTTATTGATATTGCTAATGAAATATATGAACTTAAACGTTACTTCTATTACAAGTTTGTGAATTTTCAATATTCAAATTTAGTTTCAAACTTATAATAAATTTTAAAATTAGTCTATCTTTAAATTTTTTTACCTATCAAAATAATTAAAAATAAAAATTAAAATTAAAAAAACCAATATTAACGCATTTAAAAATACAATATGTAAAATAGAGACCAAAAGGATATTTTGAATTTTATTTATAAATTTCCTTAATAACTATTCTAACAACCAAATTTTCTAAATTGAACAACTGTCTTTTTTTTAAATATATATATATATATAATTATAATAATTATTTTAAAAAAAACTTGATCCACAAACAAACCCATGTTCTCATTTTTTGAATTATATATATTCAATGGAAATGTTCAAATAGAATTTTATTACGAAGAGCCTTTTATAAGTTTTGCATAAAAAAACATGGACGACCGTTGATAATGGAATTATTTTTAATAACTATTTCTTGTTTTTTTTTTTTTTTTAATTTTAGATATCATTCTTAATTTTAGAGTTTTTATAATTGCATTATAAAAAAAATAAAAAATAATTGAAATAATTCGGTCAAAAGATTCCTTTTCTATTGGAGTCAAACTCTCAATTTTCTTTAATCTAAAGATACGAGAGGACTTTTCTTATTTTTATTGTTATTTATTTAATTTTCATTCGTTACAAAATTAATGAGAAGTAACCCAATATAAAATTACTCTGAGCTAAACATTTTAATTTTACAGTTTTTATGGGTGAGTCACCGAAAAAGAAGTGCACTTGTTATAGACATTAATTATCAATTCTGTTAATATTTTTTAACCATAGTCCGATATGGTCGCAGTTTATTTATATATATATATATATATATATTTTTTTTTTTTTTTTTTTTTT